GTCCAACTGTAGTCAGACTTCACGTTACACAAAGCGCATGCGTTTATCACCTCAAGTGAGCTCTGCACTCCCCCACACTTGGGTTGTTACCAACATCTGGTGAAAATTTCATGTCATTAGCACCTCTAGTAATATATTTACTGAGAAAAATGGTGACGTGTTCAATACTTATTTTACCTGCTGTAGTTGCTTTTATCTCATGTAGGGGTTTGTGTAGGGTAGACAAGGATTCCTTTTCTTCTTAAGAGATGTACAGGTGTTCCCTTTAGACGCCAGAGAAAAAGAAGAGAAGAAAAGAAAATCTTTTGTGTCTGTTTCATGAAAGTTACAAGGCCCCTCAGGATTTCTGCAGGAAGATGAGATCCACTGTGTCTTTCCCACCACCCACTGTAGTTCTCCTCAGCTCAACACACAAGTCTGACCCACATTTCTCTGCATATTACAGCTTCTAACTCTGTTCTTAAAGCCGCGCTTGTGGAATATTCACTGTAAACACTGCAGCAAGCTGTGAGTCGGAATGGCTTTATATTGGTTCCATGTTCAGGAGTCGGGGAAAACTAAAAGGCGCCTGGGGAAATTTGTTGCTCTCCCATCACTAAGCTACCAGGACTCATGGGAAATAGGATTTTTTTTTTCAAAYCAAGAATGCTGATGAAATACAAAAAAAAAGAATGTTTATCTGTCATATCTGGATTTTTCAGTTTGACAGAGATGGATATTTTTTTTGTCTTAAGCTTCAGCATAGACAGTTTGACACAGCAATAGAAATCTGTGCACAAAGTGATTTAGTAAAAAAATGCTAAGGAAAGTTGTGTCCCAACTCAGGGGCCTCAGCCTACCTAGACCAGTGGTTCCCAAACCTGGTCCTCAAGGACTCCTGTTCTGTTTTAGATGTTTCCCTGCTTTGACACATCTGCTTTGAATGAATGAGTGATTAACAATCTTCTGAAGACCTGCTGATTAGCAGGGAAACAAGAAAAACTTACAAGGATAGGGGTCCTTGAGGACCACGGTTGGGAACCACTGACCTAGACCACGACCCATGCAGGCCACACCCTTCAGTGCTGCATAAACCAGCTGTGAAATGAGACGGTCTAGCCTTCGAATAACATACAGTGTGTTTGCCTGACCACCCCAGTACCATAGTGAWATGTTTTACATCACATATCTTCAGACTTAAATTACATTGGGACAGGTATTCACACGTCTTTTCACTGGAGGAATAACTTCACAATTAAAAACGTTACATGTAAATAAAAAAAACCATTTAGGTTTAGCTCCAGTATCAGTACTTAAAATGACACCTCATTTAATGTCTCACTGCAGCATAAATTTTATCAGCTAAGTTGCCAAACACACCTTCTTTGTTTTACTGTTTGGTTTGCCGGCAACACATTAAATCCTGAGATATCCTTGGCTTGGAATGATCCTCAGATGCAGCCGATTTAGGAGTTTGTGAGCCGCATTTGTAGGCCAAATGAGAAGGAGGCTACAGATCRGGGTAGCCTTCGGTGCAGGGCAGTGACATAAGCGGCCGACAAATGTGGACTTCAAAGGACGCAGTCCCTGAACTGAGAAACAGCTCGTTGTGAAAATTTATTTATTTTGCAAGTAACAGAAATAAGTGATCCAAAGAATAAATTCACTTTGTGGAATGGTCGTCTGAGTTGTTTACTTACAATAAACAAGACACAAAAGTTAACAGAACCATCAAACTCTCTGTCAAAATGTGTCTGTCAGGCAGTCCTACCATATATATATATATATATATATATATATATATATATATATATATATATATATATATATATATATATCAATATATATATATATATATATATCAATGTAATGTAATCTAACAAAGTAATCTACATATGAATACACCTCCAGTTAGTTTTAAGCCAAAGTTTCAAAGCATTTACAGTATATAATACGTACTGTTTTCAGCATGCAGAGCAGATCATGATGTCACTCCCATGCACCTAGGCCAAAAATGAAAACTGATAAATTACAATGACAAGAGTGATTACTCCTAGCATATCTTATTCTGATCATAAAACATCCTACCTGGTGGATTAGGGGAAACATAAGCTGCAGAGGTGCATTAGGTCAGTGAAAGGAGGTCATTAGCTTTCTGACCTCAGCAGGATCTGTGAGAAACAGCTGCACAAAGGTGTTCTTCCCTAACATTGCCCAAGTTAATATTAGGGTTTTAGACAATTTTTTGTGCTCAAACTATGCGTTGAGGACTATGCTCTACTACTGCCACTACTTAAGCTACAGAAATGCAAACATAAGACATGTAATCTGCTCAGAAACTGAGATCCTCTCAAAGTTTAGCGCCAATCCACAGAAAATGGATCAGTCGTGATCTTTTCAAACCCAACCATGTTTTAAGCAGATATTTAAACTTTTGAAAAGCTCATGCACTTCTCTGTAAAACACAGCGATATTCTTAGAACAGACAAAACCAAATGCTAATTTAATTTAGAACCATATTCCTCTGAGTGTGATCATAATAAGTCAATGTAATGAGATGTGTAAATGAGTCTGGGTTCCACTTTGAGGACAAAAGTTGGAGCCTTTTTTTTCACGATCTGATTAATTTAAGGTGTGTGAAYGAGAAAAGGTCTGATAAACACAGGCTCTGAAACTGTCCGGCTCTGTGAGCGTTCAGGAAGTTAAATGACAGCTGCTGTCGCGTGCTGTCAGTGACATGCAGTTTGTTGTAAATCGTTTCAGTGATGGAGCGAGCAAAGCTTCCTATCTCCTCTGACTAAGATGTCACATTCTGTTTAAAAGCTGTACTAACCACATTGTGCTTTTTCAGTCCCCTTACGATGGCTTTTTGCAGAACAACGGCTCAGTGAATGGTCTTTACCCCGTCCCTTAGTGCTCTTTATGCTCAGTCAATTAGTTCAACCTGTTATTTTTAGCTACTGGGAAAATATCCACACTTATAGTAATGCAAAGACTTCTTCACTGACTTCTTTTTTTGTCTTTCTCTGCACTGCTTTTTTTGATCACAGAGAAAGAGAAGCGAGCAAAAACAGGGTCAGATGGGGAAGGCGCCAACAACCCTCAGTCGGACAGCTCGGCCAGTCTGGGCAGCCTGAAGGGAGGAGGTGAGTCATGTTGCCCTCTCTGTCACACCAGTCGTAGCCTTGGTGAGATGAAGACTGTCAAGTCTCTTGTGACAAGGTTAGCTTGTATTAAAGCTGCGAGTCAGTCTGAACTTTCACTGAAGTAAAGTCGCACCATCATCATCGTCACAGTGAGCAGGAAACGACATTTTAAAATGAATATGCATGAATATACTGATGATGTCTCCTTTAAAGCCCGCGGCTGTGTTTTGATCCAATAAAACAAATCTTGTTTCAGTAATTCCCATGGCATTCTTGAATAACGGAGCTAATATCACGCCGTGAAATCATATTATGGAAACATAATTACAGCCCACTTTGTTTACAGAAACTGTAAAAGAAGCCAGTGTTTGAACAGGTTTTCTACGATTTTAGATATGAGTCGTGAACATCCAGTGACATAATACATGCACACTCTGCTCTTTTTCGTGATGCCGTCTTTTTGATCCTTCCGGTGTCAGACRTTTCAGTTTGGGAAAAGCGGATTTTTAAAAATCCGAAAACATCCGCTTTGCAGAGCGCTTCACCTCCTGCTCAGCCAGGTGGCCTCCAGCCAGAGCGGGATCTTTTTTAAATTTATTTATTTMTAAATCTCTCCTGACACTTTACGTGGGTCTGTGGCTCTGAATGTTTAGTGTTTCACGGTGTGTAGGTTTTTTTTAGGATGATCTCCCGAGAAGCAGGACTTGGACTCGGATCGTGCTAACACAGAGGCTCTGTGTCAACGCGTTTGGACCCGGTGGGTCATTTAGCTGCCAGTGGATTGGATTTCCTAAAGGCAAATTGGCAYAATTGCATAAGTAATGGAAGCCTCAGAGTGCTTTTTGGAAAAGGCCGAGCAATCCTCGGCTAAAGTGGAGATTGGAGAGGGCAGGGCTTTAGAGCGCTCATAAGTTTATATTCATGACCTCCTGGCTGTGGCTGATCAAATGACATGTCACAGAAATGGATCAGGATTAGTGTTGCTGTGAAGAGTGAGTCAGCTTTATCGATGTGATATGATCCCTTCAGTTCTTGCAAATCACTGGAGGATTTCTCCTGCTGGGAAAAAAATAACCTATTTTATTTATTTATTGTTATTTTAGTCTGATCTGATTGAAACTGGAACTCCTTCTTACTCTGCTTCACTAAGTTATCATTTAATCAGTTTAATGCACTTTGTGTAACTCTCTCTCTCTCGCTTGGGGGAAACGATGAGGACTTAGTGATGTCCCAGTTATGACTGAGCCGTGCAGCAGCAGGTGCGACAAACTGTTTTGGATTAGCGGGTATTTTTGCAGGTCAACAGGATTGCCTCCTATATTGGATCTGCTGGGTGCGGATATTAAAACTACTCTGACCTGTGCGTTTGAACTCGACACGTATTTGCCTTCATTAATCATCAGGAAGGTCATTAGAAACCAATCTCACTAGAGATCAGGGATGTCACACTACGTGACAACCCACAGATGTTTGAATTGATGAGAGACATTACCAGTGTAATGACTTTATACATTTCTGTTTTTAATCTCTAAAATACGTTTTTTTTTTTTTTAGATGCAGCCACAGAGACTCTCCTGGACTTTGCAGAGGGAGCTCACGCAGCACAGGCCCACTCAGGAACAAAGCAGACCGACTCGGATCCCTTTATGGTGCATAATCACACAGCAGAGAACAACAATACAGTTTGGGTAAGWCYAGAGTCTRACTGGCYGGTAAAYTTCACATGTTTGGGATAAGAAGCAGAAGAAATATGTGAAAAGAGTGATTAAATGTTACCCAGTGATGTGTTCTGCTTTTATTGAGCAAACTGAGTAAATGTTTGACTGGTGCGTTCTGTGTGGCAGGAGCTGGAGGACGGTCTGGACGAGGCTTTCTCAAGGTGAGAAGAATTGTGAATTTGGATTTTTTTTTATTACAAGTAAAGGAAAGTAAAGTAAAATAAATCAGCACTCTTTAAAAAAAACCTGTTTCTCCTTTGGCTCGGCTCAGCGCAGTAAACCCCAGCGGACTGGAGACAGGCTCAGTTTACAGGCTCTGATGGAGCTGACGCCTGACCCGAKTCACGCTGCTTTTCCAGCTTCTGTGTGCCACAAACAGCCTCTGGTTACAAATGAGAGACTCGGGTTGATACGAGTGCAGGAAGACTTTTTCAGTGTTGTTATTGTGTTGGAAGAAGAATAAAATGTTTGGGGTCTGTGCTCATTTTAAACTGTTTAACTTTGGTCAGTCTGCACCCAGAGACACTCCGGAGCTCTGCTGTCAGGTTGCTCAGTGTTTGTTTTGGACCGCCACAGAAACTCATCCAACTCTTTATTAGTGTATATTTTCCTCTGGCTCTGCTTCTCGTTTCCTGTGCCAACTCCACGGCGGACYGCTTCGATTTATTTATTCTTTTCACTTTCATTTAGCACAGAGGCAGTTGGCTCCACAGACTTTGTAATCAAGCACTAAGAGGCCATTTTAGACGTGCTATTCAACAATTATTTGTCTGCACCCACAGTAATTACACCTGAACGCCGTTAGTCTCCAGAGCTGATTAATGAAGATGCGCCGTAGTGTTTGCAGAGATGTAGGGACGGTTTAACGTCTRTCGGAGGCTGATTGAGTTCGTTGTAAGGAGGGGAAAATATAGTGTTGATCTAGTGCTAAYATGTTGGCTTAAGTGTGTTTTATAGCTTGATGTGAGCATTTAACTCTGATACAGATGAATAGATTGTTCATTAATGAGCTATTAAAATGCTTAATTGCTGTATGTAGTTTCAGGGTAACTTAATTATTAATATAAGCATTAGGAAAGTCATGTGCATTGCATATTTGCTTCAAGACAAACCCCGGCAATTCTAATTATGTTGACAATTGCTGCTTAAARTCATTTTTTGCTCTTATTTGAGACTTCGCTGCCCCCTGCTGGTTGATTAATCGCTGCACTTGAAATGAATTTTTATTGTCAAAAATGACAAAAAGAGGATTTTAAATCAGGATTAAGCACAACAAATCATCTTTAAGCAGAGAGGTTTTACAGTAAAGTCAAACTGTGGCCACAGAAATACACCCAATGGGCCTCATGCAAGAACATGTTTGTATTCTTATCCTAAATTTCTCTTACTTTTGTTCGTATGAACATGTCACGTCAGATTCAA